TTTTTTTTTTTACTTTCTTAAATTTTGCTTTATTTTGAGGCACAGCCTCATACCTGATTACTGTTTCATAATTTCTGAAGTCCTAAAATCTTAACAATCAAAAGATCAAAAGTACCCCAAAAGCCACTATGGCTCTGAAACATGAGAAGTTTTTAAGCGTAAATTTTATCTTTGGAAATTTTTTCACTTAATTTAATTTAATTTGGTTTAAAAAGAATGAAACTGTTTTAAACTCACCAAACTCCTGTGTTCTAAAAATTCTGTCTTTTGAATTTCTCTGGTCTCTTGCGGGCATTTAAGGCTAAGTAGAAATCTGAGCCCACAGTCCTCACTTAGCTTCTTTGTTCTTTACGATGGATTAGACAATGCCTTTGTAAATTTATTTATTAAGAATTTTTTAAAAATTAAATATATGAAATATAAAATACAGAAAAAATATGTACTAATAAACACACATTTGCCTAGCCATTTTTAAGAATTAAAATGTCATGGCATGACACCTACTCTCTTTAAGAAATTTGAGCTTAGAGGTAGGATTGATGAGGTTTGTTTGTTTGTTGCAGTGCTGGAGATCAAACCCAGGACCTCTCACATACTAAGCACGCACTTCATCACTGGGCTACATTCCCAGTCCAAGATCAATGTTTTAAATAGGTTTGAATGCTAATAACTACACTGCTTAAAAAAAAAAAAGTAGTCCCAGAATCATAATGTGAGTCACATATCATCAGTATGATTTTAAAGCATATTTTAAAATATACAGCAATATTTGAAATTGGTCAGGTTGGAAATGAACAGGAACAAACAATGTCTACTTTGTGTTCTTTAGATGACGCACGCTCTCTCTCTCAAAAAAAAGCCCTTCTTGTCCTCCAACTGAAGAGCATTCTTTCTGCATTATTCATTTGTTCATTCATACATTCACTCATTCAACAAATATGTGCTAATATGAATCTCCAGCTAGCGCCAGACACTGTGCCCTGTGCTGGTACTTAGCATCAAATAAGACAGACACTCCCTTCACGAAGCAGAGTCTTCTGGTCCCAGTGGAGTAGTTCAGCCCTCTCCTGAGTTATTCAGCTTCTCTCTTTCTTCATGCATTTCTAAGGAGTCTGTCACCACAAGGCTCTGATGCACTTGTGGCATCTGTAACCAGAGGGTCCCAGAGCTGTCAGTCTAGGCCATGTGCAGCGGGCATCTTTGGAATGAACCCCAAGGCACAAGTCTGCCCAATATCTCCCTGATGCAAGCTATCTCAGAGGTCACAAATATCAATAAAGGATCAGAGCTCATAGAGTGATTGCCTCTTGCTGTTTATTTTCTTCTAGAAATCAATCCAGCTCTCAACAACCTACAGCAAACCCTGAATGTGGTGACAGTTCAGAAAAAACTGATAGACACCAATCTCACTACTGTCCGTGACGACCTTCGTGGGATACAGAGAGGTCATCATCTCCCTGGACTACTGTACTCGGTTTCTTTTGTTGAATGTTTTAAATTCTTACACCTCCCTATCTGTGTGTGCATTAGGTGACATCGATGACATGATTAGCGGTGCAAAGGGCCTGGTCAGAAAGGCTGACGACATCACAAGTGAGGTTCTGGATGGGCTTAACCCCATTCAGACAGACTTGGAAAGAATTAAGGATACTTATGGGAGCACACAGAGTGCAGACTTCAACCAGGCTCTGAGTGATGCACATAACTCAGGTACCAGGCTTTCTTGGGTCAGGTGTATTAGCCATTTTCTGCATTGTTATGGGTCTTGGTACATCTCAGTTCTTCCCTGGTAAAGTCTGATCTTAAATAAAAATATTTGAAAATAGTTTAACATCATACATTCAAATAGTATAGATATTCTATTAGAAAGACCAGGCACGCTGTTTTTCCTTTTTTAATCCATTGACAGTGCTATTAATTTTCTTTTTTTTTTAAATTGAGTGATCAGTTCCTGAATCATGAAGTTTTTAATTATGATTGATATTAAGGATTAGAAAACAATTTTTTTTTCTTGTAGTGAGCAAGGAAAAGGATATGATACTTATATTGAAGAATAAAATATATGATGCATTTGGAAAGGGATCATCTGACTATGATCCATTCTGTTCAACATCAAGCCTAAGCTTGCCACTTACCAAATGTTGTCTGTTATAAGAACATCTGTATTTAACCTTTCTCAATGCACAATTTAAAATTTCTGTTTTCTCATCTCACCAACAGTAAAGAAATTAACTAAGAAACTTCCAGATCTTTTGAGCAAGATTGAAAGTATCAACCAACAACTGTTACCCTTGGGAAACATCTCTGACAATATGGACCGAATTCGGGAACTAATTCAGCAGGCCAGAGATGCTGCAAATAAGGTGCCGTGTCCTCACTCTGTCATAGCGAAGGCTAATTCTTTGATATATTAGTTATCACATTCATCAAGAAAGGAAAGGCGTTAATTTATTCGAGAATTGATTGTCTTGCTCGCCCTAATTATTTGGTAGATTGAAATATAAAGGTTGATTTCCCTCTCTTACCTTCAGAAGTGCATATGACCTTCATCCTCTACATTTTCTGGTCTATCAGGGACTTGAAGCAGTTTCTTCCCACTGAGTTGATGCAGGCAGGAAGGATATTCTTTCAGACCTAACTTGTTAAACTATTATTGCAAGTTCAGATGAGGGGTTCAATTATCAGAATGTGGCAATATAATACTGCACAGAACTTTACTCTCTTGTAACTTGAAAAGTGGAGAATCTATCTTTGTTGAGGATGGAAGACAGGATTATAGCAGTTTTCTATCACTGGAGGACTGATGGATCAGCCTTTCTTATTTTCACCTGACATTATTTGCTTGAATGCCTGACATTCCTCTTATGATTTATATTGTCCCCAAACAATGTACAGTAATCCTCCCTTAACATGGAAGATACATTTCAAAAACACTGCCCACCCCCTGGCCAAGGATGCCTGAGACTATTTTTTTCTACTTATTGATACCTATGATAAAGTTTTATTTATAGACTAGACATGGTAAGAGATTAATAGCAATAACTAATTATAAAATCAAGCCATTATAACAATATAATAAAAGGTATGTAAATTTTTTTCTCTCAAAATAACATTATACTGTACTCACCTTTTTTCTCATGTTATGAGATAATACAATGCTTACATAATGAGATGAAGTGAGGTTAATAGTGTAGGCATCATGATATAGCATTAGGGTTCTACGTAAGGGTTATTTAGATAGCATAACAGTCCATTCAGTAACCAAGACAACTACTAAGTGGGTATCGGGCAGGTAGAATATAGAGTGTGGATACTCTGGACAAAAAAAAATAATTCACATTCTTTACAGAATTAAGTGTGATAACATAAGATTTTACCACTTTACTCAGAGTGGTGTCCTCTGTGAAACTTATGAATTAATTATTTCTGGAATTTTCCATTTAATAATTTTGGACCACAAAAAAAAAAAGATTTTGACTATGAGTAATTGAAACCTTGGAAAAAAAGGCCTTGTGTGAAAAGGAATTATTATAAAGAAAGTCTTTGTATTTCAAAACAAGTCCTTGTATTTTGCAATACAATCCTACCAGCTTCTTGTGAGATGTTTGGGAAAGAAGGTCAATGCAGAATACCACCGTCCTGGAGGCACCGTGGTTGATTTCTAGACTTAATATTACTTTTTTATTTTCAGCCTCAGCGACTGCTCTTTCTTTCAGGAAAGAGAAATAATCCCAACAGAGAACCTTTAGCAAAAGAGAAAGTTTTGAAGAAACTATCCTTTTTAATTCCTGTGCATGCCTTGCAAAAACCAAAAGAAAAAGAATGTGTCTGTAGCTTTTGTCCTTATGAGTTGATTCACTAGTTTATTTAACAAGACTTGCAGTGTATTATAGCACAGTGGTTAAAAACTGGTGAATGAAGCCAGATTGTCTTGGTTTAATTCTTGTCCAGTCACTTATGAACTGTGAGGCCTTGAGCAAGTCACTTCACTTCTTCTGTGCCTCAGTTTCTTCATCTGTGGAGTAGGGTCAATAACAGTACCAACCTCAAGAGACTGTTAGAGTCAAATGAGCTAATGTAGAACAGTTCCTGGCAGATAGTAAGTAGCCTTAGTGGAAAATAATATTTAAAAAAGTAAGGCAGTGCTTTTGGGTACCTGATATGCACTGGTACTCCCTTGGGTATGAGGACACAGAAATAACTAAGCCATTGTCCTGAACTCAGGCTGCCCACCAACCAGTGTAAATGGTTTCTTAGACTTTGCTAAGAATAAAGTTGTGTTTATGTCTTAGCAAGTCCCAATTCTACCTCAAGGGGCTCAGAGTGGTACTAATGGATAGCACTAACAGACATGTATTAGAATGTTCATTGCAGCAATTTTTCATGATAATTATTTTTTTGAGAAAAGCTGAAAGTTTGAAATAGTAACTGTGAACAAGCTGGAGCAATGCATTATTAGCACAGATAAATCTACAAACCTAGTGCCCAGCAAAGGAAGCAAGTTGTAAAGGATGTGTACAGGCAGATAACCATTTGTGTAAAATATTTAACACATGAAAAATAAGACTAGTTAGAGTGAGTAGATAAATGTATATGTAAAAAATATTTAAAATGCATAAAAATTTGTATGTAACTAAATTCAGAGTAGTGTTGACCTCTGAGAAGGGAGAGAGTAGAACAGGGACAGTTATATCCCTTATGTTTTATTTCTTAAGGTGGTATAAAAATACAGGCATATTCTCTGTACCCCATCCCATCCCCACCTCTTTTTTAACACATAAAATATATTCCCAACTTACAAAAGTATTGGTCCATGTCCGATTGGAGGGGGAAAAAAGGCCCTTCTCCACAGAGATTCTAAAAGGCACTATTTTAGAGCCTTAATGCATGCATTCATGCACTTTTAAAGACTGAATGCCTGTAATATATGCAACCATAACATGTAATATGTTCATGGGAATTAATTCCTTAAAAATGCATTTAAAAATATTTTTGCTGTATTATAGATCTTTCTACATATGCAGACACCACGCCAAGTGCTTCTATGCACTGACAATAATCATACATTAATTTCTGTATAAAATTCATCCAGAGTTGGAATACTACCACTATGACTACTTATTAATATTAATATCAGGGAGAGCATGAATACCCTATTATCTGGCTCCTCAAACAGCTTCCTGAGTTGTATCGTGGGTCCAGGAGATGTCCATACTCCCTATTTTTTTATCAGAGCTGTTCAGGAAGGGCTAATGGGTGATAGATAGGGCCAACAACAAAGACAGTGAGAACACCACTGTCTTTGCAGCAGAACATTTGACACCTGATCATTCCTCATAGGTCGCAGTCCCCATGAGATTCAATGGTAAATCTGGCGTTGAAGTCCGACTTCCAAATGACCTGGAAGATTTGAAAGGATACACATCTCTCTCTTTGTTTCTTCAAAGACCTGACTCAAGAGAAAATGGGGGGACTGAGAATATGTTTGTGATGTACCTCGGAAATAAAGATGTAAGTATTGCTTGTATGTTTCTTTTGTTTTTATAGCAGAATGTTTTGGGAGGTGTGTATTTTTGAGACTACATCCCTGCCATTAGTGTATCATAGGAAATCCCCCTAAGACATCAAAAAATCCGACCACAACTACTCCTCACTACACCTCCCTGCCGTGGGGACAGCCACTTGAGATGTCCATCCATCATGGATTATTAGCTGCTGATGGATCAAGTGGCCTTACTTGGTTGACTCAGGATGTGGACACATGTGTGTGTGTACCTGTGAGCACATGCACATGTGAGTGGGGAGGATCCGCATCCTCTCTCCACACTGCCAGGGCATCAAGAGCAAGACTTCATGGAAATCAACTTTAGCTCCTTCTCACAGAAGCATGACCCTATTATATTCCTCAGAAGGCCCAGCCACAGACCCTTCCTCAAGTCTGCAGGGTGGGAATCATCCATGGATGAGAATGGAAGTGAAACAAAGCCTTTCTTGCCTAATAAGAAATGCAGGTGCCCCACCTTTTTATCATCCAAATTCACTAACCTTACCATTGTAGGAATTTTGAATGGTTGGTGTTAGATTCTTAAAATCAACAGTACTATTAATTACACTTTCATGCTTCAAAATGTTGGCTACTTTATTTGTAAGTCACCTTATGACATGACTTTTTGCTTTGTATTATCAAAAAATGCACATTACTTTATGCCTTCAACAAATTTACACCATACGCAGTCAGACCTTCATCTCCATGGGTTCCACATCTATGGATTCAACCAACCATGGATCAAAAATGTCCAGACAAGAATAAATTGCATCTGCTGGGCATAATGGTGCACACCTGTAATCCCAGTGGCTTGGGAGGCTGAGGCAGGAGGATTATGAGTTCAAAGCTAGCCTCAGCAAAAGCAAGGTGCTAAGCAACTCGATGAAACCCTGTCTCTGAAGAAAATACAAAATAGGACTGCGAATATGGCTCAGTGGCTGAATGCCCCTGAGTTCAATCCCTGGTACCCCAAAACAGATAGATAGATAGATAGATAGATAGATAGATAGATAGATAGATAGATAGATAGATAGATAGGAAGCATCTGGACTAACATGTATAGATATTTTTCTTGTTGTTCCCTCTATGATACAATTTAAGAACTATTTATATAATGTTTACATTAAATAAAGTATTATAAGTAATGTAGAGACAATTTAATGTCTTTGGGAAGATGTGCATAAGTTATATGCAAATACTATGCCATTTGATATATGAGACTTGAAAATTTGCAGATTTGGGTATCTTTGGGGGTCCTAGAACCAATCCTCCCTGAAAACAGAGGGAGACTGCATTTATTATCTACCACACCTTGTGTTTATGATAATCAAAAATTTATTTCTTGAATGTACTAAATGCCAATATACATTTTAAATGGTTCCAATGGCTTTATAACATTTTATATTATGTATACTTCACCACAATTTTTAAAGATTTACTTTTTCCTCAATATGCTCACATTCTAAGAAGGAGGAAAGATACGTACATAGCTGACATGGCAAAATAGAGGTATCGTAGAAGAAACAGCCACAAAGTTTAAGAGGGTATGGCTTGCCCTAACAGAACAAAAATGGCCTCTCTCTCTGTTACCAGATTGAAATCTAATGGATGTCTGAGTCCTTATCTGGTCTATCTGTACGACAGGTGTTATGAAATACTTGGAGATTGAGAAAATGGAGGAATCATGGAAATAAAGGCACTATAACATGAGCAAAGATGGCCCAGACATTATTAATTAAATTAATTGGTTTATAAGAGGATGTGCCTCATTTATTCAGTCTGCCTAAGGCTCAATGCGTAAAACCCATTAATTTATGAAATAAAACTCTGGAGATCTTCTTGGGATGGAAAGTTGGGAAAAACATAAGTGTTTGAAGGGTTCTGAGGTGGCCTTTATGTCCCAGGCCTCCAAGGACTACATTGGCATGGCAGTTGTGGATGGCCAGCTCACGTGTGTGTACAACCTGGGAGAACGAGAGGCAGAGCTCCAGGTGGATCAGACCTTGACCGAGAGTGAGTCCCAGGAGGCTGTAATGGACCGGGTGAAATTTCAGAGGTACAAATTGGATTTGATATTGCTCTTTGTGAACCTGACCTACACTCCCCAAACTCTTCATTTATCTGTGTTGACAAACGCTATTTTTTATATGTTGGCTTTCAATTCTTTAATTTTTCTTATAACTTTATTATATAATTTTAAACAGAATTTATCAGTTTGCAAGGCTTAATTACACCAAAGAGGCCACCTCCAATAAACCCAAAGCATCCCAATTCCATGACATGGATAGTGGAAGTAGCAACACACTCCTTAATTTGGATCCTGAAAATGTTGTGTTTTATGTTGGAGGTTATCCACCTGGTTTTAAAGTAAGTATAAATGTTATTTCCCTGAATGAAAACATAAATTTAAAATAACATAATGATTCATCTCTATTTTAATTAATTACCTTATAATGGATTTGACCGTGTTTTTAAACACGTCTAGTGATAATAACTAACACTAATTGAGTACTTCCTCTGTATACTCTTCTAACCTTAAGTATATTAATTTAAGTAAACATCATTTTCATTAGCATTTGACAGATGAGGAAATGGAAGCAAAGAGGTTTAGTAACTTGTCCATGATTATACAACTATTCAAAAGCAAAGCCAGGTCATCAAGCTACAGGGCCCACATTCCTAACCCTTACGAACTGTTGACTGTTCAAAGTGATAGGCTTATACTGTTTTTTTTTTTTGTTAGACTTATTACTTTCCTTTGCTCAATTAGTGGAAGATTTTGTTTTGTTTGTTTCATTTTCAGCTTCCCAGTAGACTGAGATTCCCTCCATACAAAGGTTGTATTGAATTAGATGACCTCAATGAAAATGTTCTGAGTTTGTACAACTTCAAAAAAACTTTCAATCTCAACACAACTGAGGTGGAGCCTTGTAGAAGGTAAATGAAATCTAAAAGTCAGTGTCTGTGTAACTGAGTGGGTAGCCTGCAGTACATTTACCTGTAAGAAAGGGTGGTTAGGGAAGCTATTGATGTTGTTTGATGCTTTGGGTCAGTAGTTCTTAAATTATGCATGCAACACTGCTAGTCCATCCTGAAAATCTCATAATGTCAGTCTTCTCCAAGTTGTATAAAACATTAGATTGATAGAGTTTTTTCAATTTTTTAAAAAGACGAAATCTTTCTTAAATTTTTGATGTCTCATACCACAAGATGATACCTGTTTTAGACATAAAATTACATATTTACTTTAAATTTTAAAAAACAGTGATATGTAAAGTGGGTGACTTTGCAGGTACAGTGCTGGCTGAACCTTTTTGAGAATTGCTGCTTTGAGCTTCTAACCATCCTTACAATTAAAAGGACTTAGAACAGCCAAGGGTGGTGGCATACACCTGTAAGCCCAGCAGTGAGGAGGCTGAAGCCCGAGGATCGAAAGTTCAAAGCCAGCCTCAGCAATTAGTGAGGTGCTAAGTAACTCACTGAGGCCTGCCTCTAAATAAAATACAAAAAGGGCTAGGGATGTGGCTTAGTTGTTGAGTGCCCCTGAGTTCAATCCTTGGTAGCCCCCCTCCCCCCAAAAAAATGTCTTGGAAGAGTCCAAAGAGCTAGGTCAAGCATTTATTGCTCAGAATAAGGTTATATTTTAAATGAATACTTTTCAACATTTCAAGAGCTTCAGCTTGTAGGCCACTTTCTTGTTCGCAGGCATTTCCAAAAAGGATTCTTGAATATTACCTTTTTTGATATAAGGGGACAAGAGCATATCCAGGAGAAAATTTTGGCTCTTTTAACATTTTAAATGTATTCCCTCTTCTTTAATAAAATCATGACATCTAGATTGCATATTCTTTGTCCTACTTTTCAGATGGCAGCATCTCTTATCAGTAGCACGCTCCCATTCAATTGTCTTTGTCAGTTTTATTATTATTATTATTTTGCTTAATACAATTTAGTCTTTTTATTATTCTTTATTTCTCTTCCACATTAGTATTTTTATTTTTGTTTATTTATTTTTAGTTTTATTGATTTTATTTTTTAAAATAACGACAGCAGAATGCATGACCATTCTTATGAACACCCTTGCTGCAGTGTTCTAACTTTTAATGATTGCTGTTGACAGGAGAAAGGAAGAGTCAGACAAAAACTATTTTGAAGGTACAGGCTATGCTCGAGTTCCAACTCAACCGAACGCTCCCATCCCAACCTTCGGACAGACCATTCAGACCACTGTGGATAGAGGTTTGCTGTTCTTTGCAGAAAACCAGGTAATACATAAACATCCGGAACCTACCAAAATATCCATTCTGTGTTGCAATTTGCAGGTGACTGGGTTATTTATAAACAACCAAGTAGATCTGAAAAACAATGTGCAAAGGTGGCCTGCCTCCTCTCTCTTGGCCAATTGCTTCTTTCTATTGGTTGGGGGCAGGATGGAATGGTGAGTGTTGATGAGGAAGAGTAATCAGAAATTTGAGACCATAATGCAAAATGGGGACGAAAAATATCTCCCATTCAATTGTCTTTGTCAGTATTATTATTATTATTATTATTTTGCTTAATACAATTTAGTCTTTTTATTATTCTTTTTTTTCTCTTCAACATTGGTCTTTCTATTTTTTATTTATTTGTTTTTAGTTTTATTGATTTTAATTTTTTAAATACATGACAGTAGAATGCATTACCATTCTTATTATGCATATAGAGTACAATTTTTCATATCTTTGCATATAGAGTATGTTCAAAATTATTTTTAAATTTATATTTTACAGTGCTGGGGATTGAACCCAGAGCCTTGCACATGTTAGGTGAACACTTAACTACTGAGCTATAACCCCAGACCTTTTTTTATTTTTTGAGACAGGATCTTCCTAAGTTGCTGAGACTGGCCTTGAACTTGGGATCCTCCTGCCTCAGTTTCCTAAGTAGCTGAGACTACAGGCATGTACCACAGAGCCTGGCTTGGGTGTTGGTTTTGTTCTTTGAAAAGTACTGCTTGCCTAATAATCTACTTATCGTGCCATAGAACAAGTGCAGACCTCCTGGGGTCTCTGAGATCCAGATGACTGATGTGACCTCCTGCTAGTCCATCTTGCTCTGACTCTTGCCAGGCTGGCTGGGGTGTCTCTTTACCAGTCTAATTCTTGACTTCTCAAGACATGGAACACTCAAGCAGCTGAGATTTCTGAGGACCATTCCTTCTTTTTCATTGGTTCTTTTTAGTTACACATGAAAAAAAGAATCCATTTTGGTATAATTATACAAGCATGAAATACTTAAATTCATTATGTCAGAGAAATCCAAAGGCACACTCAACAAATGATCATCAGTGCCACCTGCTGGTCCAGGGAAAGTAGGTGGGTTTGCTCTGGCTCCCATGTAGCCACCCTGGGTCTTACAGTGAATTGCTCCTGGGAATAGGAGCTCCTGTAGCTGCTCTCCCAGCTAGTATTTTGGAAGAAATGTGGATCAAACCATGGGCTCTCTAGTCTGAGAATATGGAGTGGATATGGAGTTTGAGATTTTACCAGCCCCTTCTACCTGCAGGGTAGGGACACAGACCTGGCCCAGCTCTCCTCTCTGGGGTTGGTCTGGACCCTTCAAGAGATTCTGAGGCTGAGCTAGTTCTGATGGGTCAGGAAGGTCCTAACCAGACTGAAGGATGCTACGAGGTGAGAAGTTGCCCAATGCCTTCAGTGTTTTCTGAAACAAGGTCTTCTTTCTTGAGGTTGAATATTTCTTTCTCAAAATGCTTGGGACCAGAAGTGTTTCAGATTTGGAATTTTTTTTTTCAGACTACAGAATATTTGCATACACAGAATGAAATATCTTGAGGATGGGACCCAAGTTTAAATAAGAAATTCATGTATGTTACACGCATAGCCTGAAGATAACTTTATACAATACTTTTAAAAATTTTGTGCATGAAACAAAATTTATATACATTAAACCATCAGCTTAGTGGCATCATGTTGGTGCTCAAAAAATAATTTTTTTTTAGGTTTTGAAGAATTTCATGTTTGGATGCTCAAACTGTACTACATTTTGAACTTCTTAAAGACTAAGAACCAGAAATAGTATATATGTTAGAAGAAAACTTACATAATGTCATTGTGTAAGAAGTGATGCAGAGCTGCTATTAAGCAGGATGGTTCCTTCCTCTCTGGGTGCTGCTGTTACTCTTTTTAGTGGATTGATAAACTCTAACCTGACTCTCAACAATAAAGGCTTAAGATCTAGAAAAGGACCAATTTTCTTTTCAGATGAAGACTCTGGCCTTGGGCTTCAAAGGAACAGCTTTTTATTGTTAGGGGACTGGGTAAGAGCAAAGCCTGAAGCTCTGAGTCAGAAATTCCTCTGCTTATCTGACCACAGAGGAAATAGCTACCTTTGGTGCATGCCTTGCTCCATGACAGCGAGGCAATAATGTCAAGACAGTCATGGTTCCTGTCCTCTAGAGGGGATGTCCGGTGTCACACAAAGCATGCTATTAATAGGTCCTTAGTCTGTTCCAATTGCAAGGAGCTGTATAGAGGGAAAATGAGGCTGAT